GGGGGGGGGGGGGGGGGGGGGGGGGGTGGGGAGGGTCCTAATCTATAAAACGTCATCCTCCTTTAGAATGTTTAAAATAAACAAGACTACACTCCGGGCGCCAAATTATCAAATAATCTCATTACATGCCTGCCTACAATGTCCAAGCATATTCATAATCACAATACACTCCAGTAACTTGCAGTAGTCAAAACAAATATTAAGGCCAAATGTAGCGTCAAGCAACATTCCAAATTTCCAAATAAGTGGATATGCAGAGTTAAAAATGTCTACATAAAGTCATTTTCAACATAGCATTTACCATTATGCATGAGTAAGAAAATATCAGAAACAAAGATGAGATCACAAATGGACTAAACAGGTAAACTAGCTTCTTAACTGGTCAAGATAAGTGAAACAAACAAATAAATAGATGGATTGATAATGGGGAAGTAATCACCATATTTTTCATCAGAGAGCCAGCTGCAGACAGAAACTTAAAATCACTAGTTTCCTTTAAGCCTTCAAATGCAAAGCGCCATTTTGTAACAACTAGCTGAAACATTGCCTCGTTCATTGTTGCGGCTATTGGACCACACATGTTACCTTGGAAAAATGTGGAATCAGCATGTTCTGTTTGAGTCTCAGTAGTATCAGCTTCAATTAACTGTACCCAAGAAAAGAAAAAAGGGGGAACTGAGAAACTCCTCCGTGATATGTCAAGATGAAATATATTTACGGTCTCCAACCCCAACCAACCAACCTCTAAGAAGAATAACTCAAACAGGATTAGCGAGAAAAATGCACAAAACTATTAAGTATTGTTCAGAGTAGAAAACCATGGACGCAAAAATTTCACAAAACATGTTGAGTCCAGCATTATTAAACAGAATCCAAATAAGGAATAGTGCATTAAGGCTGATACATGCAAACCTTCACAGATGAACTTTTTATCTGAGGAGGGGAAAATATAAACAAGGGATAAAACATCAAGCTGTTATCCACCAATGGCACAATTAATCATTTACAAAAATTTAAAAACATAATTCTGAGAATGTCAAAATAGTAAAAGAGAATATGAATTACAACGGGGAATATGAAATCAGTCGACTCATATGCAGTTCATAGGCGTCCAAAACAATTAAAGATATGAGCTTTTAAAATTCAATTCTTACCTTTGAAGTTGAGAACTTGTGATACTGAAAAGAAACAGCAAACTGAGCCACCTGAAAAAAAACAACCACGTCGTTGTTCTGGATGGAATGATGTTCCTTTTCAATATCTTCATGAACCAACTGCATCAAAGCTGAAAACCATTGGAGTAATTAGGATTCTGCATCTTGGTGAAATGTGCCAATAAGTCCATTTAAGAAAGAACTTAGTAACACCAACAATTCTTGAGACTAACCATTGTAGCCGCCTGAAAGAAACTGGTTGATAAAATCATGAAGTAACCGCAGAAGTTTGCTGTTTTTTGAAGTTAATCGTCCATGGTCCCATGCAATCTTTTTTATAGGACCCCGACAAACTTTAGGTTGTTTAAGACTGTTACAAGAAGTCGGCGACGGCTTTCCTTTGAGTACTAACTTCGAACCATCCTGCCAGGAAAAAAACTCCATAATTAGTCAAGACCTAAGATAAAGCCTTGACAAACATTAGCAGCAAGAACACTTTGTACCAAGGTATGTCGAGTAAAAGTTCCACTGAACTGAGAATGGCGGTTCATATTGTATGATCTAGAAAGCTTCCTTCTATCTTCCTCCATCAGAGACTTCAGACTATTGGCGGAAGATACGGTTTCTACATTATCCTGATGTTAATCAAAAAAATTAGTTAGAACAACGGATACAGGCAGTAACCGACAAAGGTGAAAGATGATGTATAAACCATAAATATTAAAAAAGGTGGCTATTGCCTACATTTTTTTTTTTTTTTCTATATCAAACTAAAAATCATAATCATTAGGCCAGTGGAACTTAATTGATATATTGGCATATAGGTAAGAGGTAGCTTTATCTTACTGAAAAATCTACTTTTACTTTCTTGGCCAGCTTGCTGCAAGTTCTTCTCGTAAACATGAATCTTTTTAGAATAAGAAGAGAAGTAAACTAACCTCGTTGCTGTTTTGAGATACTTTTGCAATTAACTCTGGCTCTTGTCCCATAAATATGAAATAAAATATTTCCAGAAAGAGTAATTTGTCTTGACGGAGATGGCTGCAAGAACCATCAATATGTTGCGTTATCACCAATATTATGTCCATTACATTCTCCCGGAATAAAACTTCCAGAAATTTGTCTCTGAGCAATATTAACTGACAAGCTGATCCATCAGCCTTTTGCTGCAATGAGATTTCTTGAATAGCCAAAACATTTCGGAAGAGTGTCATAACCAGCTGCACCAATTTCCAGTCGTCTTCTGAGAATGTTTCACTGTTTGTAGAAGACAATTCATAACCAAATCAAAGGGATTCGATGATCAAAATGAACAATCTAAAGAAACGATAAAAGTTGTGGTCGAAAGTCACCAATCCCCTGATAGCCACCAATGAATATAAAGCCATAATAAAAAAAAAAAAAATGGAACTAAATGCCGAGAAATTTAAAGTCTCACTCACCAATCCAGATTTTCCAGCGGACTCTCCAAAAGTGAAACAGCTACGGCAACAACGTTACAGCATGTGATTAAGGACTTCAAGCCCCACAAATATTCAATCTGTTGTGCAATATCATTTGACGTGGGTTCAACGGGCATTGTGAGGAACACCAAAATCTTCACTGAAGGATTGAAGAAAACCAGTAAATGAGGCTTTTCCGCTAGTTGTTAAACAATCACTTAAAAACAAAATCACTACCTGCGTTTAAGACTGCATTACGGTCATCTTGGCAGTATTCAATAATGGGTATCAGATCTTTAGCCACAATGTTCCATTTACACACTTGCTTAAAAACATCGCGAGTCTGCCGGTCATCTCGTCTCAAGAACCTTAGCAAATCCTTCAAATTATCTGGAAAAAGAATATGAATCGCATTAATCAACAATTGGCCGTGTAATCTTCAATTTGGTGAAACTCAAGCTTCTTCATATCCAAATAGAACATGATATCGAAATGAATTGGCGTACCTAAACAGTATTCGCTCTTGGAGTAACCGATCCGATTACCGTTGTCGTCCTCTTCGACGATTCCGAGACCAGCGCAGATAACACATAGCCCATCGATCTCCATTCCTTAATGAACAATGCACTAAATTGAGATTTCAAGCATATAAGCTTGGCGATGAAAGAGAGAATTAGATTCAACGGAGAGTTGAGAGTGAGCTTGATGACGAAAGTGTAAACTCCGAGTTTTAGGGTTCTTTTGGCGCCAATCTGATTTGCCAATTTTCCCGCGCAATTAGATTGCCGTGTTTGGGTGCACGGAGATATTGCTGCAACCTAATGAGGTGGCATAACGTGATTCGTCGGCAACAAGAAATTCTATTAATAACTTGCAATTTTGATATATGACAAGTAGACGAGTAATTTCTTTCGAGTGTTGATTTTCAAACTTGAATAATGAGATCTCACCCTCTTCATTGACGTGAACGAGACTTGGTTAAAAGTTCATTAGATGGTTAATAGGTTAATAGTGTTTAAGGGATAAGATATATAACTAGAGGAATTAACTTTTGAGCTATGTACCGCTATTAATATATAGTTAGTAGTGCGGTTTGCAACTCCAACTATAGCTCACGACGAAGCTGTAACTTGTAATATCGTAAGTGATGTAGAAGTATAAAATTTAAAAAATTATGCTGATCAATTTTCCGACCAAATGTGATATAAAATTGTAGAAGATTCGTACGATAATATAATATTATTTATTTTAATATTCCTCATAAACATTATACTAATATTCATTATAGTTATATACTCTTTAATAAAGAGTTATTTTATTACATCACACAAATTTATAAAAGGACAAGAATGCCCATTTCTTGTTTTACTTATTCATGGCTAATTAAGTAATTTAGCTTAGATGCTGCCTTTAATGGCGTCGCTGTAGCCATTGTCAAAAGACTTGCTCCACAACATAACTCCTCCATAGTTGGAAGAAGATTTAATGGTCGGAAGAATTTGAGAAATAAGGACATCCGATGGAATAAATCCGCCGCTCGGCGCAGCTTCAGGTGCCGCCGGGAGCCCCATGAAGAGCTTCCCGACCGGAAAAGTGGACCACTGGTTCCAAGAATTGAGGAGATTGTCAGTGTTTCCATCAGTAAACATGCACGGTGGGTTGTTGTAGAATTGAACCCAAACCAAATCAAACAGCCCGGTTTTAATTGCAGTGTCCAAGTGCGCGTCGGGGATCGGACATTGCGGCGCGGCGGAGATAACGACTTGACCCAATCCCTTCAGTTGCCCGGCCAATTCGTCCCAGAATTGACCCGACCCGGCTTCGATATCGAAATCGACTCCGTCTAAAACGGCGTCGCCTAGCGGCCTGGAACTCGACTGGCCGCCGAGGTAATTATTCCAAATGAAATTCGCTACTTGTGCCGCGTCATCAGCGGAGGAGAGCGAGTAGCTTCCAGCTCCGCCGCCGATTGAGAGGAGGACTTTGACGCCTTGACTTTGGCAGGCGTTAATTTCACTGCTTAAGAAGGCGCAGCCGTTGTTGTCGGGGTTGCAGTGGCCGGCGAGATTGAGTACCGGAGCTTGGCCGCTGCCAAAGGAGGAGAGAAATGCCACGTTGACAAATTGGTAGTTTCCGGTGGCGCAAGTGGAAGCAAGAGAGCCTTCGTTGCCGTTTTGGCCCCAATAAACATTTAAATGAATTGCCGTGTTGAAGAGGAAAATAAAAATATATTATTATTTACATCATTCTATTTTTTAATTATTACTTAAAAAAAGAAAGAAAATAAATTAAAAATAGTCAAAGTCTTTGGGTCAACTGAGAAGACTAGAATGTAGTGACGTAAGCAATAAAAAATTATTATGACCAAATTGCCCTGCCATGACTCTTTGAAATTGAAAATTAATACAAAATTTACTTATAATTTTGACTTATTCTCCTCTGAATTTTCTACTAATATTAAATACAAATTATTTGACACGTTCATCCGCTAATTGTTCTTTTTATTAATTTTCTGTTTAATTACAATCATTAGATGGCTTAATCTTATTGTTTATATTTAATATTTTTTATAATTCAATTGTTGTTAACTTAGTTAGTATAGAATAAGATTTTTAAAATTTTAAAATTGTTTTTAATAATTTTTTTTTTAATGTTGTTTCTAATAAATCTTTGATCTATTATTCAATTATTTAAAAAAATATTACGAGCTTACTATACATAAAAATAAAAAAAATTAATCAATTTTAAATTTAATGGACCAATTAAAAAAAATGAAATGCATAGTAAATTTATAGATAAAAAAAATAAGAAATTTATTATACATCTTTTAAAATTTAAGAACTTTTTTTACACGTATTTGAAAATTCAAATTTTCTTATTTCATATATTTTTTTTAATGTTTTTAACTTTTAGTCCTTTTTTTTTTTTTTTTGTTTAAAATGTTGTAATTTTGCTAATTTTGTTTTAACATTTTTTTCAGTTCTAATTTTCTTGGTTGGTCTTAAAATTAGTTTATGATAAAATGTTTAAAAATTAATTAAAATAAATATATGACATCATTTATCGTCGTAAATTAGCATAAAAATTAAGCGTAAGATTTGATTATTTAAATGATTTTATTTTCTATATTATTATCTAAATAAATGATTTTCACTTACGTTAATATCACTCTCAATGACAAAATTTACTCATGATATTCTATGCCGACAACTTTTTCACTACGTTAATCCAAATCTCTCATTTAAAAATTATAAATCAAAATAGTTAGAAGAGAATTAAAATAACAAATTAAAATATTATGATATATCAATAGAAATATAATACTGTAGATAGTTCATATTATACGCGACAATTATTGCACTATAATAATTAAAAAAAAAAAGGGAAAGAAATCCCATTTTTCATTTATTATTTTACTTAATAATTAAGTAGTTATTCAAAGTTTGGCTTTGATTGCGTTACTGTAGCCTTTATCAAATGCTTTGCTCCACAGCATAACTCCTCCATACTTGGGAGAAGTTTTAATCCTCGGAAGAACTCGAGAAATAAGCACGTTCGCCGGAATAAAACCACCGCTCGGCGCCGCCGAAGGTGCCGCCGGAAGCCCCATGAACAGCTTCCCAACCGGAAACGTCTTCCACCGGTTCCAAGAATTCAGGAGATTATTAGCGTTGCCATTTGCAAACATGCATGACGGGTTATTGTAGAATTGAACCCAAACGAAATTAAACAGACTGGTTTTAATGGCAGCGTCCAAGTGAGCGTCGGGGATCGGACATTGCGGCGCGGCGGCGAGAAGGACTCGGCTGAAGCCCTTTAGTCGTCGAGCAAGTACATCCCAGAATTTCCCAGAGCCAGATTCTATATCAAAATCGACGCCGTCTAGAATGGCGTCGCCAAATGGCCTTGATCTCGACCGGCCACCGAGGAAGTTGTTCCAGATGAAATTTGCGACTTGGCTTGCATCGTCGGCGGAGGAGAGCGAGTAGCTTCCAGCTCCGCCACCGATGGAGAGGAGGACTTTGATGCCTCGACGTTGGCAGGCTTTGATTTGGCTGCTTAAGAAGGTGCAGCCGCCGTTGTTGGGGTTGCAGTGGCCAGCAAGGTTGAGTACCGGAGCTCGGCCGCTGCCGAAGGAGGAGAGAAATGCGATGTTGACGAATTGGTAGTTTCCGGTGGCACATGTGGAGGCAAGAGAGCCCTCGTTGCCATTTTGGCCCCAATAGATGGCGATTCCGGCGGCATGGGATGATCGGAATATGGAAGCTGCAAGGAGGAATATGACTAAAAGAGCAGCCATTTGTAATGAGCTTTGCTGTGTGCTTCAACAATGGAGAAGATGAAATTTATAGAAAGGGAAGGAGATCACATGATTTGAACAAGTGAAGCTAAACAAAAAAGTATGATAATACATCACATGAATTTACACTATGTATTACAAGTAATTTAAATAAAAGAAACGGTCAAAATTTTTCATTCCTCAATGATCTGTAATCGGGTTAGAACACACCATATTTGCTTAGCTTACACTCTACGCCTATACCAAATTTGATCAAAATATAAATAAACATAATTTAGACTCGTTTTTTATTAAACTTCTTCGACATCTTCCCGTTCTTTCCACTCTTGAGACGTAGATACTTTTCAACGTCGTTGTCGTCGTTGTCATCGTCATCTCCTCCACCTCTCCTTCTCTTTTTGCCACCACTTTCTTTGATTTTCTGAACACGTTCAACCACCACATTAACCAAGTAGGAAAAGAATGAGTAATAATTGTAGTTGTCATAAGACTCGTGACCATAATTTAGTAAGTAAATACCATAATAGATATTCTCTTCGCCTCGGCCACACGATCGAACAACATCAAAACTTCCTCTTCCTGTGCCGAAAACTGTGGTAGTTTTTTCCCTGCCATATTAAAAAAGTTGGTTATAGATAAATAAAAAGACATCTGTCATGTTGTGAGGCTAAAAAAAGGGCATTCTTTGGTTACCTATGAGCTTCTCTATCTGTATGTACCACTCTAACTCATACTGGTTAACTAACGAAATGGCAACCCCAGAACGACCTGCACGAGCAGTTCTTCCCACTCTATGTATGTAATCCTGCACACAAAGTCGTCTTAGAAGAACATTGGAAGAGATGAAGACCTAATCTTTTAATTATCTTAGCCAATTTCCATCGATTCTCAAGCTCGATTTTTAGTTTGGGGAATCTATGAAGCTATCTTATCAAAAGTTTCAGTCTACAGGATAAATTCTACACAATGATAATAGAAGAGTAATACATAGAATTGCAGAAGGAGAACCTTGGAATTTGAAGGAATATCATAATTTATGACCATATCCACAGATGGAATATCAAGTCCTCTGCTGGCGACATCAGTGCAGATAAGAACGTTGCACTCTCCAGCCTTGAACTTATTTAAGGCTCCTAGTCTCTTTGCCTGTCAGAGACATGGTCCGTGCACCGAGTTTAATAGAAATAATTCCACAAAATGATGAAGCCAATGAAAAAGAAAGGTTTTCCCGACCTCCAATTTTTTTTTTTTAAATAAGAAACCTAGTAGATAAATGAAACATACAAATGGGTTTCCAAGTCTTTTTTCAACTTTCAAATATTTCATATCTAGAGAAAAGAGGTGTAAACAACTGAGTTATATCACAACAATACCTGGGTCATCTGACCACTTATGGGAATGGCTCTTAATCCAAGATTTCGAAGAATCAATGATAGAAGGCGAGTAGCATCACAGGTGCGAGTGAAGACCATTGATGTAGAACCAGACATCTCAGTTAAGATATAGACAAGATAACATTCCTGTACAAAGTGACGTGTAATAAAGTAAATCTAGCAGTAAACCATATGTGATTCCCATCAAAAGTTGGTAAATTACTCATGCATGATAGCTCTTGAAATGCAAAAAAAAAAAAAAAAAAAAAAAAAAAAAAAAAAAAAAAAAAAAAAAAAAAAAAAAAAAAAAAAAAAAAAAAAAANAAAAAAAAAAAAAAAAAAAAAAAAAAAAAATCAACTGATTAGACCCCTTCTGTCAGTCCTCAACTATGGCCGAAAGTAGTCTATCAAAATATCCAGATTTGTGTGACCAGAAGTTACGACAAACAAAAATAATAAACCAATATTTAAGTAAGTGGAGAAACCTTATATTTAGCAGGGATAAAACAATACTCTTGCTTCAGTGTGTCTACTGTGGAATATTTGCTTGCCGCTTCAATCTGAAAGAATTTCAAGACCAAGAAAGTTAAGATTGGAATAACTCAGGAACTGAAAACTAGATCTTTGATAATCACAATCATACCTTAACAGGATTCCTTAAGCAGGCCCTTTGAAGTTTCCGAACCTGTATTATTATCTCAACTTGATCAGCAAACACTTAATCAGATGATGTCTTGCGTGTATGCATCTAAAGAAACCAACTTTTTTTTGTGCGTGTGATGATGAAATATTGAAAAACTGAACTGAGGAAACTTTAGAGATTGTAAATATATAGATTTCATGCTACTTATTTCTTATCTTTTTTAAAGTTCATTAAAACAGAGAGAACAAAAAAAAACCTAAGGCACACCGCCACATATGCATCAAGGATGGTGTTTAGCATAATCCCATGCCTACTTAATAAAATAGCACAAGATACAATAAAGACTGCACGATAATCTTTCTTCTGAATTTTTTAAATTAATTCTATATTCTCAATACTAAATTTTGTTCTCCATGGAGAAAAAAAAAGGAAATCAAATAAAATGATTACTGATATACCTTTTTAGTCATAGTAGCAGAAAATAGATACGTTCTCCTCTCACGAGGAATTTCATCTAAAATTTCATCTATTGACTTTTGGAAGTCTTCATTCAATAACCTGTCTGCCTCATCAAGTACCTGCTCAACATGAAAAACAGGCTATTCAGTAAAAATAATTACTTCAACCAAGTAAACATATTTAATTAACTGAAAGCTTATTGTCTCTCCATACAAGAAAAACTCAAAGGTCATTTCTTACAAAACTCACCAAATATTTCAATGTGCGGAGGGAAAAACCTTTTGTATTGGATAGATGGTCCACAAGGCGCCCAGGTGTCCCAACCTACAACAAAATAAATGAAATATTAAATCAACAACTAGATAAACAAGCAGCAATGGAAGCCATGACAAAACATTTGATATTGTGGAAATAATTACAAACAGGCTTAAGGAAATTGTATATAGAAAGATCATGTACACAAAAGTACTACAGTGAACAACATACCATTGTTGATGCTTTATGATGTGTGGTAGTTTCAAGCTACTGGCTGCAGATGTTATCACTAGTAGGAATGGTAACTTTATTTAACTTTGACGTCTGTTTTGACTGATAGCCAGGCCTATTTACTGGTAGATTTTTTTTTTTTTTTTTTGATAAGACTACTTACTGGTAGATTTTTTGTATAAATATTTGTATAATTTATCCTGGTGAGGCTTATGACTTAATAAAAAAGATTTATTTTGAGGCTAAATCTCTTGTCAAATATCCCAAAATAACAATACGATAATGTCGAGAAGAGGACATGAATTATCACATGGACCATCACATTCACTCTAGCATGAAGTTTAAGAGAAGCAGAAAATATCAGAGACTTACGACAATATGTGGCCGTTTTGCCAAGTTAATGGCTTGCTGCACCATGTCTACCCCTCCAACAAGCTACATTAGTTTAAAATAAAATACTTATCACCAAGATAGCTCCATGTTTAGGAAGTACAGAAGCACAAAAAACATCAATAGGAAAACACTAACAAGAAAAGAAAAATAGGACACTAACAAGAAAAGAAAAATAGGAGACCGCATCCTCAAGAAGTTCAACTAGATTTTGTATTCAGAAAAAATAACCCAGCTAAAATAAATGTACAGTTCCCTATAGAACCCTTACTGCATCTCTATAGCTCAATCAGTTCAGTTCATACTACTCGATCCCTATAACCTCTAATTTCCCTCTGCCTTTTATTTACAACCTTGAGCTACCAATTCCAACTAGACACCTACCGGCTAGCTTCCTATAAACAAACTCCCATCAACTATTCTCTCTCGAACAAACTAACTCCCTTAGACAGCACAGCAATTATTCCCAGGGGACTGAGGCTGTAAGCCATAGCTAACTAATCTCGATAAGTAGCACTATGTGAGTCTTCTTCCTCATCACAACGGCATAAACGATAGATAGCATTATGTTTCATTATATCCTCCTACAAACTTAATATCAGGTTTGGATAATATTTAATAGTCATTCTTTCTATAATATATAAGAACTACTCAAGAAACGGATGATTATGAGCACAAGTTACTTGGATTCTTCATTATTTGACGTTTAAAAAACAGTAATGTTATGCATATAAAAACACTTTCTTATTGACGTATAATAACATCCTCATAATTTGTAATCAGAAAGCTTACCACTGCACACTTAATACCAATGCCAGACCCTAACGCTTCAAATTGCTCAGCAATCTGAATTGCAAGCTCCCTGAAGAATAACGATGGAAACACATATTTGAAGTTTATAGACAGGCTAGAATCTTTCAAACTACTACAATTGGGTATCAAACCTTGTGGGAGAAAGTACACATGCGAAAAAAGCTTGAGGAGCCTCCAAAAGGGCTTGCAAAATGGGAAGAGCAAAAGCTCCAGTTTTTCCAGAACCAGTCTGTGCAAGTCCAATTAAATCCTTTCCTGCATCACAGACGGTCACGGTTGAACATTATCAATACCACAAACATAAATTGCAAAGAAAGAACAGTGAAAACAAAGCAAAAAAAGGGAAGCCGAAGGGAAGGGGCATCACAGATCAATATTAGACATGCATCCTAAAATTTACCAAACCATATGAAGAGAATGAAAATACATAAAGGTTCACATTAATTTTTTTGGTAATAAATGTTATAATTGAATGAATAAATTAAAGTAGTGCAGGACCCAAAACCCAATGTGGTTACAGAAAAAAGCCACTACAATTGAGAACGAAAAGAAAAATGAGGGGAAATAAATTCAAAAAAAGAATCCTAAGAGTCAGAGCTAATTCTCAATTGAACAACTCTTGTATTTTGTTCTGGACAAGTAAGGTACAATAAACGAAACATCCTGCAAATATAATCAGAGCTATCCAATATCACCAACCTAACATTTATAGAAATATTTGTAACTCCCATGCAATTCCAAAATTAAAAGCAGTTACAAGAAATGAATTAAGTAAATGCAAAAGCTAAAGAAAGAACCTTCTAGGGCATGAGGAATGGCCTCAGCCTGAATCTTGGATGGATTTTTCCAGCCTAAACTATCACATGCCTCCACCAATTGCTCACATATCCCCAAGTCCTTAAACGTCTTCACTTCTTCTTCATTGTCTTGCTCCATTGCCACTGTTAAATCCGGAGAATAAAACAAAACACAAGAAAGTTATTAGTGATACAACGGTGGCATGTGACTCATTGAAATGATTCATAAATATTAATACAACAAGTTTCCTAAAGTAGACTAGTTTTAACTTTTATTTATAAAATTTATTTTGTGAATGGATAAGGGGAAGAGGACAATGATACTGAATGAAGAAAATTAGGTAGACATTAAAAGTGACATCTAAAACGAGGATGAAACTATTATATAAGTTAATGACTCAATTAAAGATCCTATTAGTGATAGTGATAACGATATTGCCGATATGCTTTAGACTATTACTAACACAAGAAAGTTAAATGTACTAATCTACATCACTGTACTATTATGATTTTTTTACTTTAACGTTAATAATTTTTTTAGTACGTTTTGTACTTTTAAAGAAATATTATTTGTTAAAGATATACATGTTGCCTCCATATGAGAAAACGTACTAAGATTACCTTAAGTCTTTAAAACATGGTTATACATCGCAAACTATCAGGGAAAAAAAAAACACAAAGCATAATCTACCACAAACTTTGGCCAAAAAGTTGAAAAAATTGAATTTAGGGAAGAAAAACATCAATTTGCGTCATCTTCTAACCAAGGAAGCACAAATTCATCCAAATCTCCATCTATCTATATATCTAAGTACTTTATACAAAATTTATCTTTTTTAAGTTTTTCCCGCCACATTTTGCCCTTTTCATTATTTTCTTCAACTAAATTTATCTTTTTTAAGTTTTTCATTGTTTTTTTTATCATCTACATCTATGTATAAAAGGGGCAGTAGGGAAGAAAAACTTGTACGCCAAGTTGCTCGGTCAAGCAATCAAGCTAGAAATTAAAGGAGAATTGGAAGACTGGTTCATGTCCGAATCAGAACAGACAAACACAAACTTCACTATTGTTTCTTTCGGGCTATTGTTATTAAAGGAAAAAAAAAAATCAAACAACTCCTCCATTGTTCATTAGACAAGTTGTCATTTGTGTTCTTCAAGTGAGAAGAAAGACAGATGGAGACTTGGAGAATACCTGTAACAAAAAGGAGTAGAAAATCAGCGCAAACTCCGTATGATGGAGGAGGCTGCGGCGGCGACACGAACGGAAGGAAGACGACGTACGGAGGCTGAACGGGAGAGAGGCAGCGGCGCTGCTGAAACGGAGGAGGAGTCGGCTTCAAGTGGCGTGGAGTAGTTAGGGCTATTTCAGTTTTGTTTTTCTCAAGTAAAAAGTGGGCTGAGCTTTTTTCTTAATAAGAATTTAAAAATAAATAAATAAATGTTTTGATTTAAATAAATAAATGCTTTTTTTTTTTTTTTTTGGTAACCTTTTCTAATTTATATTAATTTTCTATGATATGTTTTGATTTAATTATCTTTGAAAAAAAAATATATTTTCTTATTAAAAAAAACCTCCCTCTTCCGGATGGGCTGGGCTTTAATCGTTTTGGGCCCAAACCTTACTGTTGGGTTTCAATGAACCGAACCGAACCGAACCAAAATAACCGTTCTATTTCACGATACGGGCAGTGGCGACAATTTCTCGTTCAGAAGTTGAGACTACGAGAGAGACCCATTTTTTCTCGGCGAGTCCAACTTCGAACAACAACAATGGAATCCAGATCCCGGAGGCGGGCCCTCATCGACGACAATTCTCCTTCCGCCGGAGTTGTGGAACGACGCGACGCCGTCGGGACCGCCGACGATGTGCAGGGACTGAAATTTCGACCCTCCGATGGGAATGTGACCGAAGATCAGGATCTCTTCATGGGCATCAAGGTCCGTCGAAAAGACTCGCTTCATAATGATTACAAGGGGGATTACATTGATGTTCCCTCGAATCAATTCTTGATGAAAATCCTGCAAAAACAAGGTTAAATTTGCACATGCCGCGTTGATATTATATATTATTTACGGTGTTTTGATTGTCTCCGGACTGGAATTGAATTTCGTTTGCTTTTGTAATTCGCTCACGTATCCATGTATTTCGTGTCTGAAATTCGTAAATTATATTTGATTGATTATAGTTTGTTCGTCCTTCTTTGTCAAATTGTATGTCGATGATAGTTTTCCATCTCCAGAATTGTGAATCTATTGCTCTTATGATGTTTAATAACTCTTCTTTCTCTTGTCCCTTACTTTTTCTATGCAATCAAATGAAAATGGTGTTTGATTTTTAGGATGATTGCAAGGTAATGATGGAAATATACACGCATATGAAATTATTATCTATTTGGACACTATGTATTGTTTAATTCCTAAACATATAATTTATTCCTATGCATTGTGTAGTTTCCTTTTTGGATTTTTGAATGAATAGGATCATTTCAGCTGGCTATTAAGCATTTTGGAGAGTATTTAGCAGAGTGAAGACGAGAGATTTTGTTGGATTTACTTTCTTGTATCTTCTAAACTCCATCTTAGAATAAGACATGAAATTTATTTGGTTTAACTCTTTAAGTATAATGAGGAAGAAAATAGTATCCTCGGGTGTGTTAATGTCTCTTCGAACGGCCCCTACTCTTGCAGAATATTACGGTTTTTACTGTGTTCGTATCAGCCATTTTGAACTGATGCATCGTTCATACACGTCTTCTTTTGAATTCTATATCAAGCCATAACCAAGTTCTTCCATGCTTTTTATCCCTGCAGGTGAAGAGAGTGTGCTTTTTGCAGACAAAGTTTTGAAGTTCACTGCTTCCGGGAAGATGAAAAGACGGATTCTTTTAATAACAGAGTTTGCCATTTATATCATTGACCCAGAAACTGATACCCTTAAAAGGAGAGTTGCCCTGGCAGCTGTGGATAAGATATGTTTAAGTGAACTAAGTGATAACTTTTATGCAATTGTAATTCCAACCGAGTATGATATACTGATGGCAAGTACTCGGAAAACAGAGATCGTAACAGTTTTGGTTGACGCCTTTAAGAGTTCCTCTGATTATGAACTTGAGATTGTATTCTCCAACAGGTAATGGACATCATCTTCCCCATTTATCGTTCCCATTATGAACCGATATTTTCATTGTTATATGATTGTAGTATGTAAATCAGTTAACGAGATTTTGCTTCGGATATTTTGAAAGTTTTTCATTTCATTTTGATTTAGTCACCATTTGAATATCTATTTCTTCTTGTTGAGTTGTAGTGTTTAAAGACGAGGATATTTGTGTTTTTTTCTAAATGTTTGTTATCCCTCTTTTCTTTCCTTTTTTAGGTTTGTGTACAGTGCAGGTGGTGAACTGATAAAAGAAGTTCAATTCGAGGAAGTCGAAGGTATGAATATATCTTTTTAAGTCGGAATTTAGCATTCTCGTTTATTTTGTTCTTGTTTCTCGTACTCTGTTTTCGAAGATAGATTTGTTTCCCTTCTCAAAGAATTGGTAAAAGAAGTACTCTCTTCTGTTTTCCCTTTATATTGGGGAAAAAAACACATTATTTTGTTCTTTTTTCACCTTATTCTCTCAAACTTTACATTTATTGAAATTATTTTCAAATGTTGTATAAAAAATTGGGAACATTTCTTGTTACCAAATGGAAAGCAAGGAAGAGTTACCAAAATACAAATGTATCTGAAGAACCAAAAACATTACTAAAAGTGTCTGGTACTGGTAATAATATGCAGGTGGTGTGAAAACAAGAATTTCGAGGAAGGAGGAGTGATTTATGACTGGTTTATTGGTCAGCCTCTTCTTTTATATTTGATCAAATTGATGATTGGAATTGGATCTTGTAGATTCTTGAAGTATTTGAATCTGTGTATAGAAATGGATCGAAAGTTGTAGCTTTTGCATATACATGCCCTTCTTTTATTCCTTCTATTTTCTCTTCGTTTCTCCGTTTTGTAAGAGAACATAGCATTCGACTTCTTAGCCAAATTCTATTCTATTGTCGATATCATTCTATTATCGATATCAAACCGGACTTCGACTATATTATTTTGTTTTAAATGGTATGAAATTCATTTCGTTCACTTTCTTATATTACTCTCATGTTTTCCTTTATTGTTTTTTTTTTGTCTTAATTAAAATTTTCAGGTTAAAACTCAAAATTAATCCTTAAAAAGTGTTCATTGAGCTAGTTTGAACACAACAGTAATTAACATATAACATCTCATATCTTTGTTCATAACAAATAAATAAGTTAAACTATACAAAATATCTCTAAACTTTAGAATATATTTCAATTTTTTGGAATAAACTTTTTAAAGTTTTATTTAAGGTAAAGATGATTGTATAATTCAAAATAGTTTCATAGGTCAAACTAAAATCAGAGTGGGGCACGGTGGGCCCACAAACTCACAGGTTTAAAGAGTGCATCAGAAGCGTGTGTGCTCATGACTTACAGGATATAATAACCCATACGCCCAATACTCTCTTAAACATAAGAATGTTAATTATGATAATTTCTTTCTAATTTTTATTATAAATAAAATTGCATTATCTAATTTTAAAATAATTTAATATAAAAATATATCAGAGTGGCGCACCCAAACATGGTGGACCCATATCCCACATCAAAACCTAGCTCTGAGTAAATCTTGAATTTGTTAATTTATAAAATTAAATAAATAATAAATGAACACATAATATGAACTAATTTGAAAAACTATAATAAATATTATTATTATTAAAATAAATAAAAAAAGGCGCAAGTAACAAAACCAAAAAACCAGACTGATCAAATAAGCCAATTTTTGAACACTAAAACTAAGTTGCTAACCCAATCTACCAGCTGAATTTGATCGTCCACTTTCATAGAACTCAATCGGAAGCCTAATGATCCTTCAACCAAAACCAGAAATCCTCAATTCGATTTCGACGGAGCTCCCTCTTCACCCTCATCCACATTCACCTGAATCTGGATCACCTCCTCCGCTCCACGTGGCAATGCTGGCGGCGGCGCCGGTTGGTTTCCTCCGCCGCTCACCTGGCGAACTCCCTCTAACCGAGCTGCCACATCCGCCATTGACGGCCGATCATCCGGAACTCTTCCTACACAAGATAGCGCTATTTGCAGCGTCTCTAACATCTCCTCCTCTATGTTTGGATATCTCAAAAGCTCCACATCAAACACCTCCGCCGTCCACTCCTCTCGAACCACCGCGTTCACCCACCGCACAAGGTGGATGATCTGATCCCCGCCGCCGCCGCCGCCGCCGCCACACTTTGTATGCAGTGGAAATTTTCCAGTGAGGAGTTCCAGAAGCACGACGCCGAAGCTGTAGGTATCGGAGGCTTGAGACGCTTTGCGTGAATCTTTGAGTTCGGGAGCGCGGTATCCAGCGGCTCTGGTTGCCGCCAGGGCCATAAGGTTCATCAGAGCGGCGACGCCGACGTCGGCAATGCAACCGTAACCGGCGGAGTTGAGAAAAACGTTTGAGGCCTTGATGTTGCCATGGACGAGCTTGCCGCAGGCTTCAGAGTGGATGTGAGCGATTCCTCTGGCTGCGCCAATGGCGATTCGGAGCCGAGTTTCCCAATCTAGAGGTGACTGCCCTTTCTCTCTCGCAACTGCAAAATTCAATGCACAAATCACACACATTTTCATGGGAGAGATTAAGAAGTAAGAACATACCATGCAATATTGCAGAGACACTTCCATGTTGATAGAACTCAAACACCATGAGTTTCTCATCCTTTGAATAATAATATGCCCTTAGACCACACACATTTTCATGATCAATGCTCCCAAGCACCTCCATCTGTTGCTCAAATTCCTTCTTTGAAACACACACTTCCTTCAACCTCTTCACTGCCACGGCATTGCCGTCTTCTAGTGTCGCCTTATACGTCGTCCCCGACATCCCCTTCCCGAGCACCTCGGAAGACGCCCTCAACAAGTCCTCCAAGTCGAACTCAAGGCCGTGACTCCGAAAAAACTTGAGGTTGTTGTTTTGTGTCTCAGACACCCTTTTGTTCACAAACTGTTCTTGCTTGTCCAGCTTTGATGAGGCTTTGTTTTTTAGTCTTCCTCTGTTTGAGCAACATATAACCATCAAAATGACTGCTATGACTAACCCCGTTGCAGAACCTCCAATTATAATGCCTAAAATTGCTGCTTCACCAAGTGATGTTGTGCCTTTCTTCAACGGTCGAGTACTCGGCACCGGTTCGTGAGCCGGAGAAACGGCATTTTTGAGCATGAGGTTGTTACCAAAGAATGCCCAACTTGGAAATTTTTTAAGGGACTGAGGGAGATATCCCGTGAGATTGTTGTTTGAAAGATCCAACTCTTGCAAACTAGGAAGGTTGTCTGGAATCTCACCAGAGAGTGAGTTATTGGCAAGGTTTAATGTCGTTAGATGTGTCGTGTTCGATATCGAGTGAGGGATGCTCCCATTGAAGGCATTGTTTGACAGATCAATGATGTTGAGATTCTTCCATACAGAGAAATCCAATGGCAATGGACCGGAGAACTTGTTGTTTTGCAAGTAGAGTGAACTGAGATTTCTCAGCTTTAGGAAGTCAGAAGGGAAAGGCCCTGATATGTAATTTGATCCAAGGCTAAGAGTTTCAAGCCCCAATAGTCGACCGAGAGTGTTGATCGGGATCGAACCGTGTAGGCCAACTTCAGCCAATCTAAGAACTACAACTTGGGATTCATCATTGTTGCATTGAACTCCCATCCATTCTTTGCACAAAGAAGTGCTCTTCTTCCAATTGAGCGAGTTTGAGTGATCCATCTTGTTGAGAAAATTAAGCAAAGCTTCCTTGTCTTTGATGGGCTCCGACATCACCGGATAAACATTCGCTGCAAACCAGAAGACTGCAGAGAAAACAAAGATGACAAGCTCAAGGTCCCTTTTGAAGCTCATTTCCACCGGGAGTTGAGGCTTTTCATGCAAGAATGAATGAGCACCAAAGGGATGATTCAATAGTTTTCTTGGCTCCAATTGTTGGTTGCATCTTCATGAGAAAATACCAAATGAATTAGAAATTTGCTTCTCATTTTATCAAACAAGCTCGGAAATAGACAGGGAAAGCACAAGAGAGTTGCATGGATTCTCTACTTCTAACTGCTTGTCGAGCAAGCTCAGAAGGAGGCAGCAAAGCCAGCTCAAGATGCAAAAATGAAACAAAGCAGAAAGAAAAGTGAAGGGAATTAAGATCACTAGCTCAGAAACAAGCTCAAAAACAGGCAGCAAAGCCAGCTCAAGATGCAAAAAGAAACTAAGCAGCAAGAAAAGTGAATGGAATTAAGATCACTGGCTCAGAAACAAGCTCAGAAACAGGCAGCAAAGCCAGCTCAAGGTGCAAAAAATGAAACAAAGCAGCAAGAAAAGTGAAGGGAATTAAGATTAGTAGCTCAGAAGCAGCTCAGAAACAGGCATCAAAGCCATCTTAAGATGCAAAAATGAAACAAAGCAGCTAGAAAAGTGAAGGGAATTAAGATCACTGGTTCAGAAACAAGCTCAGAAACAGGCAGCAAAGCCAGCTCAAGATGCAAAAATGAGACAAAGCAGCAAGAAAAGTGAATGGAATTAAGATCACTGGTTCAGAAACAAGCTCAGAAACAGGCAGCAAAGCCAGCTCAAGATGCAAAAATGAGACAAAGCAGCAAGAAAAGTGAATGGAATTAAGATCACTGGTTCAGAAACAAGCTCAGAAACAGGCAGCAAAGCCAGCTCAAGATGCAAAAATGAGACAAAGCAGCAAGAAAAGTGAATGGAATTAAGATCACTGGTTCAGAAACAAGCTCAGAAACAGGCAGCAAAGCCAGCTCAAGATGCAAAAATGAGACAAAGCAGCAAGAAAAGTGAATGGAATTAAGATCAGTAGCTCAGAAACAGGCAGCAAAGCTGGCTCAAGATGCAAAAATGAAACAAAACAGCAGGAAAAGTGAAGGGAATTAAGATCAGTAGCTCAGAAACAAGCAGCAAAGGCAGCTCAAGATGCAAAAATGAAACGAAGCAGCAAGAAAAGTGAAGGGAACTAAGATCAGTAGCTCATACAGAACAGACCCAAAAAGCTAAAATGACTACAAAATTAAGGTTTTACTTTACATTTTCTCAGTAGCCAAACAAGCCTAGAAACAGCAATGAGAAAAAGGAGCTGAAACAGAATTAGCAGAGGATCCACTTCTTACTGCCAACCTCACAAACACCAACAAAGCTTGCTCAAGATGCAATAATGAATCAAAGCAAAAAAGAAAAGTGAGTTAAAATTTTACTTCACAAAAAGCTCAAGATGCAAGAATGAATCATCACAAAAGGCTCTAAATGACCATGAATCAAGATTTTGAAAGAGGGAGTAGCAATGCTTTCTAGACTTCAGCAAAGAGAATAGTGAAGACTGAAGTGAATCAATACCCCAAAAAGGCAGAATGGCTAAGACATCAAGATTTTCCTTCCCATTTTTTCAGTAGCCAAACAAGTTGAGAAACAAAAAGAGAAAAGAAATAACTAGGAATCAAGATTTCTTTCATCCCCATTTTCTCAGCATCCAAACAAGCTCAGAAACAACAAGAACAGCAATAATAAGTTCACTTCTTACGTCAAACTTCCCAGTCTTCAACCATTAAAGCTTCCTCAAGATCCAAAAATGCCCAAATCCATCAGAACTCGAAACAGATAAACAAGTGCGTTCTCATTCGATCGCATTGATGAAGAAACTGACGAAAAAGGAAAACGAAAAGTCAGCTGCAAAAGGTTTTTGTTCACTTGTGATAATAAAGAGCAGTTAACATCAAATACAGAGAAAATGGCAGAAAATAAGAGAAAACTCACATCAGAAAATCGTCGAAAACGCCAGAGGAACAGGAGGGTCCATGTGATATGAATGGGGTTCCTGCAAATACTATTTTAATGGCGATATTGCCGCCATTGATGCTGTTTCTCTGAGGCCCCCTTGTGTTGGATTTCGTGGATACATCGAGAAAAAGGAGGGAGATGAAATTTTGGGTATAATTATTCTCATTTCACTTTATTACACTCCAAGTTCCAACTCACTTCAAGCGTTCAGAATTGAATTACGATCTTCAAATTTGGCAATATTTCATGGAGATTAGTTTTCTTCTTTTTGTTTTTTTGTTTTTTTTTTTTTTATTTTTTCAGTTCGTTTAAAATGTGAATATATTATTATCCTTTTGGAATCCAAAGCATGTGACAATTTTAAAATCTATTAAAACCTTTTTATTATTATTATTCTTCTTTTAAAATATCATTTAAATTTTTTTAAATTAAAATATCATTTTTTATTCTATAAAAATAGTTTTTTAAAGTTTTCATTTTTAAATTATAAAAAAAAAAGAATCCTAAGAAATTAATATATTTCTAAATATTACTAATATCCTTTCTAAAAATTTAAATTTTAATATTACAATTTAATCTTAATCTCAAACAAAAAAACATATATAAATACACACGTATATTGAGAATTAAAAACATATATTTAATCTTATTTCCAAACTCATTTATTTAACAAAAAAAATTGAATCTCCTCTCTCGAGTAAAATAGGCATCTCTAATAAAAAATATATTTAAAATTATTTTAACTTTTTAAAAATGGTATAAAAAATTAAAATGAGAATTATAAACATATATTTTTATAAAGTTTAGAAAAAAATATGGTATATTTTTTTATCGCAAAAAAAAAAAAAGGTTTTTTATTTTTTCATTTTTTTAATATTAATTTGAGTTCCTTTTTTAATGCTAATTTTTAGGGTAGCATCCAAAATTATTGCAATGTGGAAAAAAGATGGGACAAGGGCGTGGAAATTGAACGGCTGAGATTGAATTAAAGAAAAAGGAATCAAAATGATTGGATAAAAGGTTGGTTTGTTTGGTAACCTAATTATTAATTTCCAATTTGTTTTTTATATTAATTTGTCAAGAATTAACCACTCCTGTCACAATCCACCGAAAATCCTCTCCTTTTTTGTCTCTCTTTTTTTTTTTTTAAATAATTATAATATCTAATCATTTTTTAAAGTATATTTTAGTTAAAAATATTAAATTAAATTAATATAATATGTTTCATAGTCGAATGAACGATATTGATATCTTAACCTACGAGCTTAATATCGAAACAGATAATGATCAATAGTTCCAAATAATAACTCTAATATTCCAAGTAAGATATTGCGATAGTTTTATATTTTAACAAAATATTATTTTATATCATTTAAAATAATAAATATTTTAATAAATAGTGGAGGCGTGGTAGACTTATAATCCACGAGTCTCAAGATCGAAATTCGACTCTAATAATATTTTTGTTAATATATAATTTTTAAATTCTACGGGCATATATGATACCGAGTATGGAAACGATTCAAAGTGGCTTTAGAATTTGACATCTATTCCTTGGTAGACATGCACTCAAACACGTATTAGAACTATAACGTCCACAAGCCACCAATGTTACTCAAATGGAGGTCACACGTGACGTGCTTGGATCACGGTATATAAATATAATAAATATTTGGCTAACTTATTATAAAACTCATTTAGAGGACGGTGGTATCAATACCTCTAGGGTTAACTCGAGGAAACAAGTCACATTCTAAACCCATACAAACCAAGTCCGATCATACAGCATAGTGTCATGGGTAATGATGTTTAGTTTATGAATATTTACGACTATGCTTATTATAATGAGTTCATACACACGTAAGTTTGATTTTAATTTTTTTTATTATTCATTTGTATTTAAAATTGATTTTTTTTATATCAAATGAAATTATTAAATTATATTAGGCAAGTTTATGTCGGAGACTAAATTAAAACAATTTAAATAATAAATTAAATTGTAAGTTTAATTTAATTAATTAAATTTGTAACCAAAATAATTAAAACTTTGAATTAAATAGAAACCGCATATGAAATAACCATTTATAAAGTCTACTTCTCCGCGAAGCATTCAAGTTCGATTGTCCACCGTCTTTCCCTCTCCGTCTTCGACTGTACCGGCTTCTTCTTCCTCCTTTCGGCTATGGCTTATGATTACAGAAACAAGCCCGGCTACTACAACGCTCATCCTCCGATGTACGGACCGGCTGCTTCATCCTCACCATCTCCTTCAATTCATCCCATGTATACACAGTCCATGTACCCGAGGATCGGTCAGCAAGGTCATTCACCGGCGCCTCCGGTGCCTCGAGTCTCCTCCCACCATCATTCTTCTTCTGCTGCTCCTTCTCCATCTTCTCCCTCCTCTTGTAAGTTCTTCGCCTTTGATCTCGCTTATTTATGAGTTTTTGATGAATCGTTTAGGTTTGTGGTTTGCGAGTTTCAGAAATTGTTTTAGGGTTTGCTTGAATTGTTTAATCAACTCCTCCAATCTTGAGGTTTTTTTTTTTTTTTTTTTTTTTTTTTTTTTTTT